CTCAGCCTTTCTCACATGAAAAATAAACTTTTCTATATCTTTCATGGAACTCCCAACCATTTAATTTTTGTCTAATTCTTAATTTCAGTCCGACACGAATCTTTTCCAACAGAACACTTATCTGTTACTTTCCTCCTTGGTCTGAAAATCTCCGATTTTCACTTGCAAAGCGAAGCCGCTTTTATATTTCATACTGCATTAATTTTAATAAAAAATAATCAAGCATTCATATGGATCATTTCTGTATGGAAGATCCATTCACCCTGATGATATCCGAAGCAAAATGTTGATGCTGTATCATATCAGTGCCGGTTTTATCAAGCTGCGCTATAGCATTTGAATGTGCATGGACTTCAGCTTCAAATGCCTCATGTTTCTGGATTTTTGCCTGTAAAAGAGCAGTCCTTTCATGAAATTTGTTCGCAAAATTTGATATCGCTTCCAAAAAATTTTTAATGATTTATCTCCTCTCCAAAATTCTGTGTTCATACTTAAGAAACTTTCAAAAAATTTTGATAAAGAATAAACGGACTTGCAAATTAGTTGGATCTCGAAATGACTCTTCCGATGCTGTTTGCAGTTTTTCAAGTATCCAAATTTCAAGTTCGTCCGCATCTCTTTTGAAGTATTGGAATTGTCGCGCTTCTTCCAGTCGATCACGTTTAGCGCGAGCAAACTCCTTAAACTGTGCATAGTGCCCAAGCACTTCAGCTCGTCGATTCTGCAAATAACAACTATAAGTGAAAGAAAAAAGAATAAGACAACATACTCTTTTTTGGAACGTCTAAGAAAAATTTCTAACAGAAAATGTTTAACACATCTCAAAAACGAAAAATTATATCACAAGCACTGCTTTATTTCTCGTGTTTTATTCATCTTTTTCGTCTCCCTAATCTTTCATTTTATTAATTATATCACACATATTTTCACTTATTTGCTGTAAAATCTCACTTTCCACTTCCAAGATTACGAAAAACATCAAATGGCGACAGCACTATAAGAGAATGAAGCCCACTGGACCCCGAACTACATCACTGAATTTACCAAAAAGATGTTGACAATCCCAATAGATTTTACTAAAATAGACAGATAGAGCTGATAAAGATGTGGTGTTTAAGCTCCTTTCTGATCCTCCAGGTTACGAGTTTATTTGATGAAATTTACCTGAATATCTTCAGCACTTTCAAGAATCTTAATTTCCTGCGGTGGTGGAACTTCTAGAACAGGCTCTGGTGGTGACACTGACGCACCCGATTGGGCCATATTGCTCTTCGCGTTCAGTTATTCCGTATATTCGGATAATTTAATCGGACGCGGTACACAATCTGAAGAAAAAAAAATTGATGAAATGTTAACATTGCTCGAATGATATACAGGGTAAAAATCTAATATGAATCAACCAGAAAAAGCCCATTCATACCACTACTAATACCAATAATATCCCTCAAATATACATACACACATACACGCACATACAGAAACATAGACACAGAACGCATACAGATACCTCATTTGATTGATATCAGTGGTCGCCGAAATGATAATTGGGAGTAATTGGGTGAAATGAAAAAATGTGTTGGTTGAGTTTGGAATTGGGAAAGGAAACGAGGAGTGGCTTAAATGTTCAACGATGCGATCCCAACAGCCTTAGCTGCAACCATAACTATCACGTACACACACACAAATACACATACACACATACATACACATATATACACACATACATATACATACACATAGTACGCACATACACATAGAAATGCCTTGGAACAATGTGGAAGGAGAGAGACTAACATCGATATTTGACTGAATAAAGAAGGGATAGATGAATGTTGTCGTTACTGTGTACATATATGCGTATGTGTGTTTGTTTGTGTGTGTGTGTGTGTGTTTGCATGTATGTATGTTGAAAATATGAAAGCTATTTTCCACTGCTGTACAACAAATTTCACTTTTTACGGAACAATAAATCTTTTGCAGGAGAAAGAACGAGTGAAAATATAGCAGATTGCATTTTACTGATATGTGCATGCAACCTTTTGTTAACAAATAAGTAAATTTGACGGTGGTTAACGTGATGGGAAGATTGTTTGTCATTTATTATCATTTACTGATTGGTAAGCAAATAAACAAAACAATATGATGGTGATAAAATCGAGATCAGTTTTTTTTCCAAAGGATTCCAGATTTGTTCCATTTTAATGAATTGAAATAAGATTCAGTGATGCTAATTAAGCAATTTTTTCTACCCCTTTTGCTGAACAACATTATTTATCTTTAAAAGATATTAAAAACCAAAAGAACAATACTAATAATACCGTATCCAGACCATTCTTTTTCCACAGTATTATTCTGCAAAAGTTCTTTTACTGAAATTTTAATTTCATAACAGCAGTTCCTGTGTTAACATTAGGTGGCATGGCTGGAACTGGAACTGATGGTCAAGAAGTTAGGAAAGAGAAAAAGTAGTAGATTATCTTCAATTCAGTCTTAGTCATCACTTTCTCTCTCTCTCTCCAATATTTTCAACTTTTTTTACGAAAAAGAGCAGTTAGTGGCATATGTCAAAATTATTCTACTCCAATTCTTATCTAAGCCATCCAACTTCCCACACTATACATACGTTGATTTAAGAATTCGACTCTCTCAAATGGAAAAAAGAAATAAGAGTGAGTGAGGGAGAAAGAGACAGACTAAGAGCTTATAACAAACTATTACCTTCCCTGCCAACTAAACGGGAACGGAAACAGTTCGTGATATCGGCTGAATGAACCGATTTTCCGGAAGTCCATGTAAGGGTCATAATCGACAAGTATTATTATCATATATCAAAAGAATTGAAAAATGGTAGTACAAAGATGATGAGCGGTAATCCTGATGAAAAATTAAACAATAATCGACACTCGGTAAACAATTCCATGTCAGAAAGCATCTGGTACCAATAATTTCCCTATTTCGCAATTTTATTTAGCGGATCACTGCAGACAGTTGTATTCTAAAGCTCAAATCTTAATTACAATTAATTATAATTGCTTCGCCATTTCTCGTTATATTTGTAACTATTTATATTCGCTCAGTTACTAGATTATAAATTTATTAACTGATTATACTTAGTCCCTAATTATGTTATATAATTTTTTCGACACTTGGGTTTACTTGCAAATTACTACATATCAGCTATTACACAAATATTTTATAATTATAACGAATAAACAAAAAGATGTTGGTCATCCTTACAGGAACAAAATAATTAAGAGAATGGAAGAAATCATTTTTAAAGTCATAAAATAATATGTAGGGGGATAGTCGAATGGGATATATCAAATGAAATACAAGAAAAGGAGTCAAATGTCCGGTCTAAATATGATATACCAGCTGTGAACTGATGACTGGAACAAGAAGCAGAAAAGGCAATACAAAATGAAATTTTCAAATCACAGAATACAAACTGCAAAGAAACTTAAACGCAACATTTAAGATATAGCAGAAAAGTGACAATTATCAAAATGAAAAAAACATCTAGAGATCAACGAAACTGAACGAATAATAGAATGACTCGAATAATTAATTGTGGTCATTTTAGAATAACTAGAATCTAACAAATGCGAAGTTATTCTTACAATAACAGAAGACTACAATTACCAAAGAAAAACATCTGAAGATGATTGAAATTGAACGAATAATGGAATAAATGGAACAATTAATTATTATCATTCTAGCTCTCCATGAATGATCACACTTGATTGGACGAAAAGACAACTTGATTATTTTTGGCCTTACAACTTGAAAAATAATGAAATAGTCAAAACATTATGTATGACTAGAGAACCGAATCTAACAAATGCGAGGTTATCCTTGCAATAACAGAAGACTGATAATTTCAAAGAAAAACATCTAAAGATGATTGAAATTGAACGAATAATAGAATAACTATAAAGGACAATTTCTTCGAAGCATCATAAACGCTTAAACCGATGCTTAACCCGAAGTTAATGAGGATTAGCTTCCGGGCCCCCAGGGATGGAATTCAAAAACATGAGAAAATATCTAAATAATGGTCGACAGAATGATTTCAAAATTTCCGTATTTAAATATTAAATACATAAAAATGCGCATATCCCGAACACGGCAACATATCATCAAATGAATTTCATGTGTTGTAAAATTGGAATGAAAATTTTCATTATATAACTTTCAAATAACTGAAATGACTTAGCGCATGATATGTTATGAATAATGTACGTATAATGGGGAAGATTAAGACGTTTAAAAGTTTGTAAATCGGTATTTGAACTTAAGAATCCTAAAACATTCTTTTAATTCCACCCTTCTGTTACTCCAAAAAAAAGTACATCGGCCCTACACCACTCTATCCGCCTGTCCAGTCTTCTTAACGCCACTACAAACAATAACATCCCACTCACCGGAAATTTCACGTGGTCAACCGGAAAGACGGCCAAGCATTCGTACGGAACGGTATGCAAAGTTTCGTCTCTTTATTTAGACGTGTTAGTGGGTGTTAAATCAAGTGGGGTTCCCGGGATATTTCGAGGGTACTTTCATTTCAGGCACGTAATCAGCTTGTTCCTTTCAGTACATGCTATTAGACTGTAATTAAATTCATAATACTGTCATATCGTATACCTGGCATATAACCTATATGAAGCAGTTTGTTCTGCCAACCCAAGGTTACCTATGCCCTTGTGCTGTGCTGTATTGCCAATATTAAACAATGCAAAATTGAGTTTTACTGATCCGAAATTTATTCTATTACTTTGTTTGGAAATCGAAATTTGACGTGTGGGGGAGGAGAGACGTGGGAAATAATTTACCCGAGATTTCAGTTATCACTTTTTTCACAGAGATCATTTAGCTATCACACATACTTACACTACCGTTCACGGTAGTGATAACTGAAACAACCTCGAGTACTCGTTGATCCAAATAATCACTGAGCCGGGAAACTTGGTATTTCAAAAATTTGTTTTAATTGACTATTGATTTTTCGATTCGAATTGCATCAAAAGATAATGGTGATGGATTATTTGGTGAAGCTGTTGGATTCATTTTGTCCACCAAAAACCAACCGTACGATTATGTCATCGAAATTACCTTCTGTGTCACCGGTAAGTTATGGGTATTGACAGCCATTGGTAGTTTCTGGTAGTGGTAACCTGTGCGGATACAATTTAAGTTTGTAAGCTGCAAGCTTCATTGGCCTGGTTATTGGCTATCTATTTAACAGAAAGCCTGATAAATCTTAGAAGACTAGTAATTTATTCATATTTTTCCCGGAATTTGTTAGCTTTAGTTCTGAATTTCTTTTTTTACCATGTACTTATTCTGGGTGAAATGTGCAGGATTTTTGAAATTTAGCATACCTCAAAAGATAAGTTACTGTTTTATGTCTTATCGTTTCTAGTTTTTAGGGTCTTTTAAATGAATCACATTTGGCCCGTCTGGCAGGTTTGTCAGGTGTTTTGGCAATATCACTTGGTGCGTACGGAACGCATGTTTTACGTGAAGGTGGAAATGCAGATGAGCGACGTTCACGCGTTTTCGAAACCGGCAATCGTTATCATTTGATACATTCAATAACATTATTCCTTGCTAATAAGGCACGTTTTCCGTGGCTTACTGTTTCGCTTCTACTCAGTGGTATGGCAATTTTCTCTGGATCTTGTTACCATTACAGTATCACTGGTAAAGACAGTCTGAGAAAATACGCCCCGATTGGTGGTGTAATGTATATTTTAGCATGGCTTTCATTCCTGCTTTAATCAAACTTTCCATTTCTTTTTCATACTTGCACTAACTTGCACTAGATTTCAATGTATCTGTTTTTGATCAGTGATTTATATTTCTATGTGGAAAGTTTTCCAAAATTTTGTTGCAATGTTATGCATTAAAAGTAATAAATTAAGGACCCTCTGAAATGCTTTTGTTCGCTTCGAGAATGGTGAACTATGAATAACAGTGGCTTATCCCCATCTATTTTTTATTTCGAAATAACGATTAATCCCTATCCTAACTTACTGTAGTAAACCATAACTGATTTATTGATTCCAGTTTCTCAGACTATTTCCAAAATAAATTAAGTGGTGAACAAGGAAACAGTTCCCGGTATTGCTAAGCACTGTCAACTATTTAATCGATATAGGGATAAAGGGACGGATTTTTGTACCATTTGCTCAAATGATATACACAGTAGACATTTTCATAAAGCGGCATTATTGGACAATAATCAGAAATGATGAAAGCGGATGGTTTTATCAAGACGGCGCTGGATTGCATCTCAATTATTTTCAGCGCATGATAATTTTTCGGGTTTGCTTTATTGTTGACTTTGAATATTGGTGGATTCCATCACAACTTGAATACATTATATACATTTCAAATATCATATGGAAGTGAAAAAAAAAACCTACAAACAGGAAATGAAATGAAATCGAATGTAAAGATCGAAGCATTAAAAAATGCATTACAAATATGAACAAATTATGCATAGCTTTCATCTGCTTGCATATCATCTGTGGACAATGCTGTGATGCAATTAGCACTACTTCGAAGTGCTGAATTGCTATCTGTAAAACAGACGTTTTTTGAGTTCACAATTGTGTTCCTTAGTGTAAGGACTTTTAGGCAAAAGCGTAACTGGAAATCTGATTATGATTACTATCGTCACTATCTATCATCATTATCATTAAGCACAACTATCGATCCCGAGAATATAAGTACTGGTAATGAAATTTTGGTCGTAGTGTATAATAAAAGAGTAACGGGAAGAGACAGTTACTGTTAGATCCTACCTGTGTCTAATCGTGATTCCATTATGTAAATATTACCTCACCTTAGGCTTTTGTCTTATAATGCGAAAAGTTGCTAGCCTTATTTATATAAATCATCCACAGAATATCAAAATGGTCATAACTGGTAATAGCATGATGAGGGAGCACTGTCTACTAAATTTGAAGTTCTAATTTTGATTTAGGAGTCAAAGGTAAGACTTCAAAACTATAGTCAAAACTGATGAGCGATGAAAAGGATATGTGCTACGTAATTCCAATACTATAGATTAATACCTTTAGCATGTGCATTGTTGGACGGAGAAAAGGCCCATTTTGGGGTTTCCTCCTTGAGTACCTTTACTAATTCCTCAATTTCCCGCGTTGTCATGCCTATTGCACAGGCAACATTCAAGTAACCATCATGCTGTCGTGATGAATGTGAACCGAAGTTGAGGAATTCATAGCCATCAATTGTTTTTGATAAGCCATTGGGCACCGTTCGAGCACCGGTAACACCGCGACTAAACAACTGAGCACCGAAAGCATTCTGCTCTTGGTTTGTCCAACCCTTCAGTGTAACTGCAAGCGAAATCCGATTCATTTTAACTTCCATAACCTGAAAACAGATTGATGCAATCAAACATTCGAGATGAGAATCTTATTTCAATCACTTGTATGTAATTGTTCGCCAGCCTGTGATGCTTTAATAGCGAATGACGAAATTTTCAACTAGAGGAAAATTATCCCAAGGGAAGTTCTTCAAGCTCAGTTTTATCTTACTACAGAACTGAGCTAATGATAATGTAATTTGCACTGTGCTTCTACCGACATATCATCCATAAACAATTGATGAGCAGAAATTCAACAAATGTACAACAAGCACATGGAAATTACCGAGATCAAGAAGTCCGATTAATGGGTACTACTACCAGAAAGGGTGTGTTCGTTGTATCTATCATTCTATCGATTCATCTATTCAACTTATCCATCTGTCCATTCACTGATGTATATTTCGAAATATTTATACCTTTTGTCCAATCGTTTCAGCATATTCCCGCATTGCCGTACGCAGAATTTCAAAATTCGTTTGTTGCATGTTGTAAAGATCTCTTAACCCAACTTTACCTAACTGCAACAAAGTAATCAACAAATCACGTGATGGTACGATGGAAGCTCGTCCTGGATAGAAATTAGCAATGATATTCAAGGATTTCTCATCAAATGTTGCCACAATGGAACCACCTACTGGTACCAAGAAATTCTTATCCGTTGATTGTATAAAAGCATCGATATATCCTGCTGAACCGGCTTCTTCGATTCGGTTTCGACATTCTGGTGATTGTAAACCGTAAGCATTATTTACCAGATGTTTCACACCATATTTGGTACATAATTCACCAATAGCAATCAAATCATCTGGCTGACGAGGAGCAAAACAGGAAGTGGCACTTAGCACGGCAATAATTTCGTCCTTTTGTTTCTCCAAAACAACTTTCAGAGCAGTAAGATCCGTAATGAGTCCATCACTTATCATAGTTTCTTGGATACCATCAATTATAATCGGTTCAAAACCAGCCGTAAAAATGGATTTAAAACATGATTTTTGATCGATACGTAGAAAGACCACAAATTTAGCACGACGTTTCGTGTGTCTCCATGCACCCAAACACAGCGAAAGTGCCATTCCGGTTGCAACAGGTACTACCATAGCTGCTTTCGTACTTGGTATTCCAAGACAACGAATAGCATCTAGGGCAAGTTTATTGGTAATTTCTGAAAGAATAGACGAACCGATTGCTTTTGGTTGACGTTCGGTCAAATTTCCAGATCTGCCAATTCCATGTGCTAAACCGTAATGTAGTCGTTGAACCAGTGGCGACAGAACACGACCTTCACGTTCACCAGCTCCGATGCAAACGGTATTGAAGCGATTATTCGAGTCCAAACTTGCTAAACGTGTTAGAAATCCCTCAATCGCTTGAAGTGGTAAACCGATTTCCGGAATACTACCATCACGACGCAACGCTGTCTGCAATCGATTGAAACAGCGTTCAGTACGATCAGTTGCTTCTTGTTCCGTTTTCATCTCACTCAATCTGAAAGTAACTGTTTATTAAAAATCCTGCAATATAAAGTAAAATAAGACAAACGGAAAAAATCCAGCCAATAGAATTCAAATTCAATTTGAATTTTTGAAAGCAAAATTCACAAAACCAGCCAATAAAATTCAAATAAAAATTCAAAACGATTTATATTCAAATTTGATTTCAAACTTTTATCTGTATATAGGAAATAGACAATAGACAATGTCTAGCTTTTTACGAACATCCTTAATCACAATTCTGAAATACTCTTCGGGAAATATGATTCTATCTTCCTTCATATGAGCTATTTACTTTTATCTTATATGACTTCACAATTCCGAATTTCCTTCTATTTGCCTACCTCGTATACAAATGTTACAAATATTTTAAATCAAAAGCAAGTCCAACTGCCTTGAATACGTCTATTCATCTCCTGCTTTTAGCAACTTAAAAAAACAGTATCTACAGCGACAACTTAAATCAAATGACTTATCAATCCCTAGTCCTCCATTAATTTTTTTGCACTTTAATGTTTCATTTAATCATAATCATTTCACGACTAACATGACCCTTCAACTCTATGGATTCCTTGACGTTACAAGCCATCCTCGGTTGAAGTAAACACTAGACCATACTTCACATGATCACACTTGACACATACCATGACAAATCCCCTCGACCATCGACCCTGAACTCTCACTGCAAGACCCACTTTCAATTCAACATATACACCTGGATACCCTCCTCAAGTTTTCAAACAATGTGACAGCTTTTTACTTTCTAGATTTTTTTGCATTATGAGGCAAACTATACAATTCCAATCTTTTTCGATGAAAGTAGCCTGAACTATCGAGGATTGGGTAAAAGAAGCGAGAACATTAGCTGGAGTTTTCCAATTGATGAGGTTGTTGACCCTTTATTTTCAAATGGGGATGAAGTAGGAAATATAGTCTGAAAGTCAAGTGTACATGCATACATACAGTGTGGTATCAAGAAATTCTATCCTTTTATAACAATCTTTTTTTATAACAAACAACACTTGTTTAATAATATAATATAAACGCTTGTTCCATCCGACAAACAGAATAACGAATCCAACAAAACACGTGACTCAACGATTTGACTTCGCTACACGCTCCAATTCGTCTTTCTTTTTGATTGCATAGGAATTCGACGATCCCTTTGCTGCATTAATCAACTCGTCTGCCAAACATTCCGCAATTGATTTGATATTACGGAATGCTGCTTCACGTGCACCAGTACAGAGCAGCCAAATAGCCTGTAGCAAAATTACACTTCCTCGCTAGGAATGATGCCAAGCCAAAGTCATGCGCCATTTCCATGTTGCCAAGTAACAAGTCGTGAATGAAACATATTATTTCATTTTGACAGAAGAAATTATTGCACGGCCAAGTAAGGAAAAAAACTCCCGACTCTAATTTTTTTCAAAAGAAGGTTCAAACTATATGTCGATCCAGGGTGTAAATAGAGATTTCCTGTTTTTTGAAAGTTGGCAACAGAAAAACATGCAGCTTTTCGTGAAGATCTTGCCAATAACCACCACGCTTTTTAGCTACGAAAAAAAAAGACCTGATTTACACGACGAAGAGGTGACACATCGACAGCTTGCCGCCTAACTGTACCTGCACGACCAATACGTGTTGAATCTTCCCTCGGTCCACTATTTATTACAGCATGAACAAGCACTTGCACAGGATTCTGAAACAAGTTACACCTTATAAACGGTCTGATCAAACACATCACCCTTGGATCTCATTTAAAAAAGTGCCCTAATTTTTCCCGAAATATTAAAGTATGAACAACTCCCTCTTATTCTATAATATTTCCGTCTTAACCTTACCCACTTTCAAATTTGTTTACCTCACCCACTTTCAAATTTCTACCCCTCCAAATCCTAGTCTTGTCTGCATACTTCTTGTTGCTGGAAGTTACCTTATATGTATCTGCTGAAACATGTCTTTCAAGCAGCAAAATATTTTGAATTTTATGGTCTCAACTACCAGTATTCCTGTATAAGTTAGTAGGTAAGTTAAGCTCTTGCAAATCCTTTTCCATGATAAAAATTTTCGCACACTTTGCAGTTTGTCACTTTGTGCCCTTATGAAACCAATGCACTAAAATCTACTGACAAAACGATAAGTTACTTAAAAAATAAAATAAGCATAAAACTGAACCTCTCCGGATAACAGATGAATTATTTCGAAAGCATGTTTCACAATACGCACAGTCATCAGTTTCTTGCCATTGTTCCGGCCATGCATCATCATTGTTGATGCAAGTCTTTCTACCAATGGGCACGTTGCTTTACGAAAACGTTTCACTTGATATCTACCAGCACTATGCGGTAGATATTTTGCTGATTTCCCTTTTACGGCTATATAATCCTGAAAAGTATCGATTTGGTTGGAAAGCACTATATTTTAATGCAGTGATATGAATAAAGAAAGCTAAATCCAAAGCTCAGAGTGTGGTAGTTTGAAGATTAGTATTGGTGCTGCTATAGAATCTCCTTTTACGAATGTGATTATAAACAGTTAATTACAACAAACCATGTAACCTAGCAAAATAACACTATGAATTCATTAAAGTGCCGTTATACTAAATTACCGTTATATTAAAGTACCGTTATAATAAGGCACGTAACATATGATGACCAGGCAATCAACTTTTCTATTAACAAACGTGCATTTAGAACTGACCACTAAAGAAATATCGGAAATGTGAACTTCGTCCAACGACCATTTACCAAAAAGTTTCACTTCTGGTGCCTCCGATTGACCTAATGGTTCATCATAACCGCCAATGACGTCATTTGCTTCAGTTACCCACTGATCAGACATGCTTACGTAAAAACTGCTTCACCAAATATCTGGAAGAAAAACCGTTAAGTATTTATCACAAACCGATCGGGCCAGTAGATTCATATGCGTTTATCGTCAAAAACCTTTCTAAATTGTGATATTAAACACATCAAATTATATCACATTAATTATATACGCCCAAACCAATGGATAGTAATTAGTGGGTATGTCAGAATACCGTCTCTATGTTAATGGTAATATTAAGGTAGTAAAAAAGAAAGGAAAAAAAATAATATTTCTAATAATGTTAACATTAACAGTCAACAAGCCAAGATAGTAATAATTATAACGATTATTACTGGTAATAGAACAAACTTAGTCTAATATAAAAAAGTCAAACAAACACTGATGACACACTGCCAAGAATAACATCATCGGTTAAATATCCGAATAAAATAGAAATAACATCAAATACAAGTGATGAATTAAAAGCAAAATAAAACAGCATAAAATTCCTAAAACGTAAAAAATTCTGTGTAGGAAAAAAGAAACCCACAGCTACACACCACCGTTTATCACCTTATCATATCACAATCACCAGATGTACCGTTGTACGGCCTACCAAGACAGACCAGGCCTCAGTGCTCCAGCATGTATCATTATGCTTCTCCTGACTAGGACACTGCGAAAATGCACTGTCTCAAGTAAATGTTTCACTCCGTAACAATTTTTATTCTCTTCATACAGACGTATGCTACGTAAAATAATCCGGTAGTATAATGAATTTAGGAACACGTTTGACACGTGGTGATTTCTTCTCATTCACGTGACAGTGATGAACAATACTTCCATGTTCGCTTGTTTCTTATTTTAAGAAACATTTGAGATGGATTAATGGAATGAATTGTATCAATTTCACTCTGTGTTGATACTTCATTTTCAAGTTAATCAAATTTGCTCCTTTAGAAGTATTTTATTACGTGAATGTGTCTGTGAATAAAGTGAATGTAGATTATATTTATATTTATAAAGGTATAACTTCATTATCATCTCTGCTACAAACACACTCTTTCTATTCATCATTTGCTCTCAATTTCTATTATTGTTGCGGCTCAAAGGATTTCTTAATTTGTACACACTGATAACAATGCTATTTTATGATTGTATTATTTCATATTGTCTCTCATTTTCCAGTACTACTTATCATCCATTTTGTTCAGCGTGTGTTAATTTCGTTACTTTGAAACTCCATTAAGTATTATTTATTCTTTACTTTAGATTATTAAACTGAGTTATTTGGATTTCAGTTGTTGATAGGTTCCTGGCTTATTTCCGTCAGAGTTATTGGGAGCAGACCTCTCTGTCCTTCCTCTTTCCGTCACAAAAGAAACATCGAAGCAGTATTTCCTTAAGCCATAGAATTTTCCCGCAGTCAGTTGTTGAACTTTGCCAAAGTCATCATTTAGTATTGTATATAAAAGCATATTATATCGTTCGAGTATTTATGACCATTATATATCTTCGGTTTTAATTGTTTGATGCTTCAGTCCTGTGTTAGCAGTCAGAAGCCAAAAAATCTAACGAAGACATACATGAACTTCATTCAAGCTTTTCTTTTTTTCTTCTGAAATATTCAGCAACATATCAATCTCTAACATGAAAGTAAATTAAGACACAAAAATAATGATATGTATGTAAGATAATCATCTCTTGAGATCTCCCATCAAAAGCAGCAGCCTTCGCTCATTTGCGCACAAGTGACATTTTGCAATCGACGATGTAACGAATGAAACGTGGGACGTTGCTCTGAATCACGGCTCCAACAGGGCAGTATAAATTCTTGGTAAAAATTGACAGATGAAAAGTCGGGCCTTTCCAGATAAAACTAGAAAATGAGGTTAATTTTTTTTAAAGTTTTTAAAAATTCATGATTACATAATTGACTTTGAGGATTGTAAAACGTAGAACGTTTTGCTCTGGATTATGGCTCCAACAGATCAGGTAAATTCTTGGTCGATGGAAGGTTTGAACTTCCTAAATAAATCATCATGTGGTTATAAGGGGAAAAGCCTAGATAAGAAGTGAAAGTATAGATTACTTAAGGTCCCAAGATATTAGCTAAAAACCAAATACGATAAATAATAGAAATTCAATCCTTGATTTGCAATTTCTAATATAATAGAATAAAAATGGAATGAGAGGGTGATATGATAGGCGATGATATGAATTTTGATTACGATATATCTGATAAGTGATAATGATATGTAAACAAAAGGTTAATATAGACATGATACTTCCGTCCATTCATTCACTAACCTTTAACGTCCCATGTTGTTGCATAAATAATAAATTTCGATATACATCATTATCAGTCATCATTTTATAGGGATATTTATGGCAACCATTGAGTACTTCCCAAACTGCTACACCAAACGACCATACATCACCTTTGACTGTAATTCTTTTCTGGAAATTAAGATTTAACTTTAGCAGTTAATTAAAAACATCATAAACAGCAGAAGAGTGCCACTGTAGTGATAATAATCCAAGTTATAATTTTTAGAGAGCTTAAATGAAAGAATAAATATCAATAGATGAAAATTTACCGAAATTTCAAATTTTTCTTTTTTCAAATTTCAAAACTTCTTTTACATGTTAGAGCTTGTCTGTCATTATTATTACTAAAGTTTGTTAAAATTTATATTTATTACATTTCACTTGTTATATCTATTTTACTTGAAATCTATATTTATTTATTTACCTTCCCATCTATTATCTATTACTGCTCAGTTTGTCGTAATTCAATAGAATCATCTCGGAACTTTGAATCGATTATCAGAAGTTAAATTAGAACGAATAGAAGAGAAGTTTGGAAATAAATCCTAATAATTACTGCTCAAAACATCGGAATTTTTAATTTTGAAAATAAGCCAAAGTATAATTAATTTCGCGTCCAATCTATTCATGTTTTCTTTTTATTCAAGTGTGGTCTTACTTCCGTAGCCGCTTCCCAAGACATCCACCGGATTCGTCCATAATCTACCGGATCGTCCGTTTCAAAGTGATCCAATGTATAAGCCATGTTGAAATTGGTAAGTTTAATGGTACCATCATTAGTTACTAGACAATTATTTGCCGAAAGATTTCCATGGATGAAATTTTTAGATTCTAAATATGACATTCCGGCTGCAATTTGCGTACTTACCGATAATAGCAATTCTGTTCTGTAATAAAAATCTAATATAAATGGAAGTTATTGATACGACAAATATTACGTACGTATCTATTATTTGATCCAAAAAAATATCTTTTATGGTTGTTGATTTTGAGTCATTTTTCCACATTGTTCATTGTAAACGTTTGAAGATCTCGATAAGTTTGTCGTTCATTTCACCTGTATGGTATCTCATTGTTCAAGCTTTGAAGATATTGACCAAGATATTGCTCGATGTGTTCATGGATACAGCTTGTTAATACTCCATTACAGCAGATACCAATCACTTCCAGTATATTTTGATGTCGTAAAGTACTTAATTCGCCCACTATAACTTCAAATTCTCTTCGATCATCATGACTTCGATGGAATGTTTTATTGACCATTGTACGTTGTTCCAACTTGCACAACCAAATCTGAAATGTTACGGTTATCTCATGCTGTAATTAAGAAAGAAATAATAAATAACCAATGTAGAAATGACCTACTAGATTCATTTATTCATTAATATTAAAAATTCGAAAAAAAGGTCGTTATTTCTCCTCTTTCTTTCGAAAGACGAATTTGCAGCAGTTAAGCAATAAGTCTTATCAACCAACCTCACCAAATCGGTTATTGCCCAAATGTTCATGGAATCGTAAACATTGTGGATCAATTTCGACGAAATTTGTTGATCTATTTGTATCATGAACTTTATCATAATCGTTCGCTATTTTAGATGACACTAAGTTCCTTAAAATAAAAAAAAAATATATCAACTGATTCATGGAACACGGTTTTAACTGTTTATATAGATACTTACTCCATTAACATATATCCTAATTGTCGTGGATGTCGCATACAAACATCACTTGAAGCATAATGAACTGTCGAATTGGGAAGAGATTTTGTGGGATTGCATACGGTTTTACTGTTAATTCCGGTAATTTCCATATCATTGCTAATGAGAAGTCGACTTAGCTCGGTTTTTTAAGAAATAATATAAAAAATTTTATCCAGTTTTATGATAATCTCAGAGACGTTGAAATGTAATGCTTCAAAAAGCTTAACTCAAAAGCCTTAAGAATCTCTAGTGATATTTGGTCTATGGTTAGGAACTTTGACCATGTCATATGTCCAGATATCATTATGTTTCAATTTACGTTGTTAAAGACTCATACTATCATCTTAAATTTTTTTTTTTTTTATTATATAGTAGCCCTGACGGCAAAAGTCGGTACTAAGCTTTCTACTGGTAAAATTCTTTCATGATATTACATATCTGATAAATCATATCGAAGCATATTGGATTGGGTTAGCGCTAATTGATGAGGTAAGTTGCAAAACGAAGAAGTGTACCTGACATAGTACGGTTCAGCATATTCACCACCAGAAGACTGATTGGCATGAAGTTTTTCCAGTAACGAATTCTGCATGTTGTCATTAGTCATACGATAAGCATTTGGAGATGTACGCTGAAAAATAACCTCAATATTTTATTAATAATTTGATTCAGAAATTAATTTATTAATAATTTGATTGATTAATTTATTAATTTATTAATTAATTTATTAACATTAATTTATTTAATTTATTAATATTGATTTATTAATTTATTAATAATTTGATTCAGAAAAGTTCAGTTCTAAATTTTGTCTGAAATGGGCGCAACTGTCTTTAAAATTTATCTTATCTACTAATTCTTAAGCGATTACTAGATGCTTGGCCTTGAATATTCTATGTGTTTCTGCAATAGTTTGGATAAAAATCTCATTAAAAGTTTTTAGAAATGTTTTAAAAATAAAAACTTTAGCTGTTCGTCCTCCAATTGTCATCCGTAAATCTTTCGAATTTTTTTTCAACACTACAAATGGTCCTTTTCGTGGAAATGTACGACGATAAATCCATAACAAATAGAAGAGAACAATGAGAGCACAAAATAAGAAAAGGAGTGATGTTATTACAGCTAAAAGTATTAATTATCGTATTAAATTTACATATTGAAAGTTTCAAAACTCATAAATTACACCACTGATAATGCAAAGTTATGCAACTTTGAATGATATCATCAGTTAACACTTCAAATACTGTATTAGGTCAAAATGAATCGACAATTTCTAAAATACTGAAATTCATTTTTCATCAATGAATTAGCAATTACCTGGAAACGTATATCTATCACATATCAATATATATCATGATAGGTGTATACATATAAAAATTTTTAAATCAACTTATTTTAAACAAATATTAATTAAACTAAACAAACCAAATGATATCCATCGTGCACTATCTTCTGACATATCATTGATAGCAAAATAAGTTAGTGTATCACCTCTATTTGATAAATGATCCAAGTCAAATTCCTCATCGTCCAAATCATCCGACTCAAGCATTCCATTTTCTAAAGTGATACTTCTTAAGAAATATACTATTTGTTTGATTAATTATCAAAATTTTATCAGTTACAAGGAGTACGTTATCAAAGGATTTGCATATAGGTTATAATTCAATTTTGCAATTTCAACTTTAAAATGAATTAATTTAATTCATTTAATAAGAGTAAAATTTTTCATTTGTCTTAAAAAAAATAAATGCCAAAACTAACTAAATTCGAATTTAATCTCACTCAGCAATAACCAATTGCTATTTTCTGACAAAGTTAATTCGACTCGTAGTTCCTTAGCAATTCGACTTGGCACCGGTATTCGAACCCATCTAAAATTCATTTAAATAACAAAAGAAAAGAAAAAAATGAGTCAGAGAATATTCAACAAAATGCTGCATATTGTGTGTGTAATTTTGTATTTCATTAAAATTTTAATGATTTTGAATAATTAAAAACTTATAATGCTAACTTTGATCATAGATTAAAGTGATAATTTCATTGATCATTGCATAAGATAGTTTGTGAAAGAAACCTGGCTGATTGGAAATTTTTATCAGGAACATAATTAAAATACAAAGTTCTCGGTGAATATTGACCATCACCTTGTGATGAGAACCATATATGTGCTCGTTTAAATACCTAAAATAATAATACAATAATTAATTGATAATTTAACTTTTACAAATACAAGACGAATTCTCAAAATCTGTCTCAAATTTGGATAAATAAAAAGCAATTAAATGAACAGGTGTATTTGATTAATACATGCAATACGTGATCTTTTCATAACATTTGCGCATATCACACGTAATCGACGTACAAATCTTCCAAAATGAGATTCATGATTTGGGCCGTAAATACCGAGAATTAATTTTAAATATAATTAATCCATAATTCTAAATGATAAGCTTTAATTAATCCTTAATCCTTATTAGTAGTTCCGATTTCAAATTTCAGCGCAATAATTATGCAATACCTGGGCACCACTTTTCAAGAAATTTGATGCATGAAATAAAATAGCATTGATAATTTTCTTTTTTACAAATAATATTTCAATCGTAATGGTTGCACCTATAATAAAATTTTATTTCATCGTAAAAAAAAAGAAATGAATTTAGTAATTTTGGAAAAATCAAAAAATAAGTAAATGTATGGAACAAATTGTACAAATTAAAGAATGATATTATTTTGAAATTATTGATAAAATAATAATTTATTGAATGTTAAATTACTAATACATCAACAATTTAAGCTATTTTTTTAAATCGTCCAAAGATTTAATTGAAGTTAACTTCTTCATTTTTAATTTGAAAATAAATCAATTATATTTTGTAAAAAGCTCTAAATAAATGATAAATATGAATTAAGCATCAATTAGAATACCATGTTTTTCCTTACTCCAACCAATCCATTGTTCAGGATATTTCTCGAAATTATCCACACCAATAGCGCCATCATATAATTTGCCAAGGCCATTGATTAAATATCCGGATGAATTTGTAATTCCGTCATATGAAATATCTTTCAAATTTAAACCATCTATTATATCACCTTCCGGTATTGTGTAGGATAGAATTTGATCTAAAATATTTACAAGTAATTAATTTCATCAATTGATTCATTTAGATAATTTGGGTTAATGTTGAAGAACTCAAAGAATACTACTTATAGGATGTAAATCAAAGAAACTATTTCAGGTTTGTAAGAGTGACTTTTTTTTTTGATGCTTTAATCTTTCAAGATTATAAGAATTGACTGTTCTTCTGACCTCTAATTTACTAATTTACAATTCTTGTGATAAAATGATAAAATTCTCGTGACCTTTGTAAGAACATCCATAAAGTTCAACACGCATACAAACAGTACGTGTCACATCCGAAACAGGTATGACGCGTAGATTTCGTGCTACAATACCACCATCCAGTTCTTGAAATACTGCCGATTGTGTATCACTATTTCCAGCCAGAACCTATAAAAGTCCTTTCTTTTTTTTTTCAGTCCCTACCTTTACTATAATGTAAATTACACGTTTACGTAAGTAATCAAATGCACGAATCATTTTACTTCAAATAAACTTATTAAATTTACGTCATTTAATTGTTACTTTGTTTGACGCACGTCAAACATCTTCCAATTATCGATTTATTAAATCCCATAAGATCGATATGAACTGATTTCTTTAGCTTTAATTTTAATTTACTGAAAAAATAATACAAATAAAAAAATCTTAAAAATAATAATCTATTCGTTAAAATTATTATTGCAATCATCAAATAACATTTCATTTAATTTTTTTTTTATATCCATTCCCTCAGATATTTTATTGAGGAGTTTGTTGTTAAACAAATTTCGCATAATTTTAGAAAAAATAAAAAATTACTCGCAAAGTTTATTACTTTAATCCAAATTTCAGAAAGTTTTAAATATATATTATAAATTTAAATGATAAATTTATGGGAAGTATTTCCCTCCTAGATCAATCATCTCTCTCTCTATTTACCTGTGACATCTATGTTGTCACTTTATTAGATTGCATAACTAAAGCAAACAAATTGATGAAGTATATTTGGTATGTTTACTTTAGTATCATCTATTTATGAATAGTTCGGAAAAAAATTTGCATAATATTTGTAAATTTCTTAGGTTTCCACATTAAATAATTACTTAATTACTGCATAGTAACCGAATAATTAATCAATTATTTGCATTAATTTTATAAATGATAAACAATGAAAAATGATAAAGAGTAATTTAATATGTAACATCAATTTTTAATATAAATATTATTCATTCATAAGTAAAACACAGAAAAGTTTAATTTTTTATATTTAATTATCTATTTCGATTAAAAATTTATTTTGTATGCCAAAATTAATTCCAATTATATTTCAAATATGATATTTTAAAACTATTAATTCGATTGAAGAAATGAAGTAAAAGAAAAAAAAAAAAAAATACAGTACCTCATTTTGCCTTCCATCTTTATAACGTGCCCATGTACCGAGACTTTCACGCCAATACTCTAACATATAGCCTGGAGCATATTCCAATCCACGTCCGCTATCAAAACGTCCTTGTGTTTCAACAGCTGTTATCACCATATCCATATCAAAATCGATTTGTAACCATTCCACTACTTCAGAGTTAATTTGCTTACGTGGACACCACGCACCACTTCCACGTTCTGTCCGTATTCTATAAAAAAAAAAGAAAACTTTTTTTTTCAAATATTTTACAAAAAATATATTCCCTACAACATATCTTCAGAATTGCAGGATTACGCAGTGGATTTGGACAACGTGACCTTTAGAATAGATGACCTTTGGAAAGGCATATAATGTCCAGCCTTTTATTCCGTTTAGTGGCCTATGATATTTTCATTATCAAAATATTTTGTTTAATTTCATTAAGCTCATTTAGATCATTTAATTTTAACCGATTAATATGTGATAGTAACATTTGGCTTCCATAAAGTCTCAGATTGTAAACTTTACTAATATTAGCTAATCTTCTGCTAAATGAAATGTAATAAAGGTAGAAATGATCAAATTAAAAAATTCTTTAAATTAAAAAATTTTCATCCAATTTCCAATTAAAATATTCGTTTAAGCATAAAAGAAAATTTTTTTTTCAGTTAACAGTGATTATATCTCTTAAATAATTTTAATAATAGAAAAAGAGCAATGAATTTGTTCATACTGGTTCAAAGGTCATCAGTCAACTACTGCTATCACTACTATCAAAGATTATTCTCAATATTATTATGAGATCATTTATTCCAGCGATAAAATTACGCATATTTTGTTTAATTTAATCAAATTATGAAATGATATTTTGGAATGAATGATATGAAGGGATAGAATTAATGCAAATTTAAAACAAAAATTGATATCATTCTGATAAATTGATAAATGTAATCATATTTAATGCATTTATAGTATATCACTAGTAGAATTTCTTCCTTCTTCTTCTTCCACAATATAATGGCGCCAATTAAATTAAATTTCTGTTCCCTTATTTTTCATAAATTATCAATAATATATATAATGAAAATGAAATAATATACGGTAAATCTTTTTATCTTCAATGAATTAACCCAATTTATTCGAATTGAAAATTTTATATCAAAGTTTAAATTAAATGAAAGTTTTAGAATTAAATATCCATTATTGCAATAAACATTCGCTTTTCATTCTTTCTTTCCTTTTTACCTTAACAAATTAGATTGAATAGGAAAGGAAAGAATAGGAATTTATTGAATGAAATTTCAAATTAATATTGTTTTTCGGTCTTTCTTTAATATTTAAAAAAAAATAAGCAAAACAAAATATTTAGAAACAAAAGAAAAATATTTAAATATTTTTCCTACTTTAAAATTTTTTTATATTTAAGTTTTAAAATTTTTTAATATATATTTAACTTTCTTTTTTTGAATTCCATCCGATCAATTATTAGTTGTATTTATGAATATTCATGTTCTTTTTCATTTAATTAATGCATGGAATATAAGAAATATGGATGAAATCAGGACAATAAATGTTGTATGAATAAGGGAAAGACCAAATGGCTTAATTGGATTCAATTAATTATTCATTTCAACAATCCCATACGTTATGCAAATAAAATTATCCAAAAGTAATGATATGAAAAGAATGCTAATAATATTAAAGCTTAAATTTCAACTTGTCAGCATGTAGCAGTAAACAATAAATAATCCAAGCGTATTAATTTTGAATTTGTTATTAAATTGTCAATGACAAAGTTCAATATTTATTGTTTTATAAAGTTGATTTGAAATTAGTAACTCGAAATTTGAAATTAATTCTCTTCCATTTATCTGAAATTTATTTAAGCAAAAACAACCTTGGGAAAATTCCATTATATTTCAAATTAACTGATTTGAATTGGTCTAGATTTTCAGATCCAAAGTATTCAACTAACTTATCCAAAACATTTCGTTGTTTATTTCAATTATGTTTTAATTATTACAGCTTCGAATTTAAATCTTATATTAGTCAAATTTGAATTATTTGTAATGAATTTAATTTAAATATTGCAACATTTATTGAAGAAAATAAATGAAAAGAAAAAATTATAGAAATGTTAATGGAAAAAGAATTTATCAAATAACCTCGAATTTTGTGGTCCAGTAGTGTCTTTATCATGGCTTGAACTTGCTGATAATTGATTATCTTTGATAAGACCTGATTCCATACCCAATGCATTTGTGCATTCTTCTGAAAAGATAGCAAAAAAAGAAAAAATTTGAATATGCGGTAAACAAATCAAATAAATAAATGAAAAAAGTTTAAATGACTTTCTATTTCAAAAAAAAAGAAAAGGAAAGGAAAGTTCCCTTTATAAAGAAACAAAGAAAAAAATAAAAAGAAAGAGAGAGGGGAAGAATTTAATTATAGGAAATTAGCAATGAAATAAATTTTCATTCATTGTACTATCCTATCCTTTTTATTTCAGAAATTACTAGTCCTTAATTATCTAATTAGCAGTGTCGGTTAATGTAAATTATATATTTAATTCATCTCTTTTCCATTTAATCATAATCTATCAGCTATGGTACTCTATTACATCCATTCTTTTGATTCTGAAACCATCAAATCAACCTTCTTTTGGTCGGAAAAAAAAACCAAAAATTACTATTAGCTTAAACTTTGACCTCTCCTGATGATCGATTTCTATTATTCATGAGTAAACAAATAAAACAATACGAAAATATTTATTTACTATAGTGCATTCAGATATCAATTGCAACCTTAAAATGGTAGTATACACGGATGTCCAGAAAGAATCCGGATATTGATGCCAAACAATAATTTCTTTTGTAAGTTAAGATGAGCTATACTGTAAATAAAGCTAGTCTTACCATTGGTTCATCTTAATTAATAGAAGGTACAAATAGGTATGGTATGATATTTTGCTTAATTTCATTAACGGGATTGGGATGTTAAGGGAAAATAACCATTATAATTATTAAATTTATTCGGCACTTTTTACGATTAATTTTCTTTTCTTCTTTTTTTTCTTAGAAAATTCTTCAATTATCTTTTACAGATTAAAATTATATTTGTTATTGTAAGATAGAAAAAATAATTATCAAATCATTTTTTGCGAAAAAAAAAAAACGAAAATAAAATAAAATTTTAGAAATGATAAAAGATACAGAAAATGAAAATTTATGAATTTTTCTTTCATTTTTATTTATAAAAATTTTTTTCTTTTTTTTGCAAGGAGAAATATGACATAGTGACAATTTAATTGAAATAAAAGAATTTTTGAAATATCCCAAAAGTTTCTCTCATCCAAAAGAAAGAGAAAAAATGTGAGAAAAGAAAAATATTATTCATATCCAAATATATTATTATTATTAATAATTGGAGTTTCGTGTATGATAAAATTAGATTTTTTTCAAGTTCTTTTCTCGTAATAATAAGAAATATCTCTTATAACAACTTAATAGCTATATTAATTAAATTTATTACTTTAGCAAAGATAATGACAGGATGGAGGGAAGTGTCATAAAATTTTTAGTACTGAGGTAAAAAATATTCACTTTTATTCATCATTTTCTCCCCATTATTCTGGCTATTATGCATTCTATTTCACATATTGATGATAATAAAACAATGACGAAAAGTAATTTCATATGAAATCATGATGTTATTATTATTATTATTGTTATTATTATTATTATTATTATTATTATTATTATTATTATTATTATTATTATTATTATTATTATTATTATTATTATTATTATTATTATTATTATTGTATATTAATTGGTAG